CCCATCAATATCTGATTCCTCCCTTTAGGTTTGTCTGAAACACCACCTCCTCCGTGCAGCCCACCCTGGTTGGCATCGGTGAGTCCTTTCCCTGTGCTTCATGTCATGTGGTTTCACCTTTTGTGGTTATGAATGGAGGCAGGTGTGCAGGTGAAGCACGGAGCAACTCAACAACTGCTCCAGCCGCACGGCCCCTTTCAGCCTCCTTGGACACAGGCTCCTGTAGTCCCCCACTTTTTCTGGAACTGCAGACTTATCCTCCCACATTTACACTGCTTAGAAGAGCTTCGGATTGTCTAGAAAGTGTGGTGCTGGATGGCTGTCCTCTGGCCTGGGCTGTTTTTGCCCAGAACTGGTCAAATCTGCAACAGATGGAGAGGAGGGAGGTTCCCTTGTACTCTTGGCTTGTTAAATCCTGGGCCCTGTTCCTAGAACTTTCTAAGTAAACGAAGATGGCCCTTAGACGTGGGGATGGCTGTGTCAGCCTCTCTGTTCCCAGGATCTGCCCCACCTCAGGGACTGCGAGGGACAGTGGGTGGAGCAGAGCTGCAGGATGTCCCTGACCTTCAATCTGTCCCCAGCAGGTGGCAGTGGCAGCAGGCACAGGATCCGGGGACTCACTAAGAGCCGCATGTCAGAGGATCATTGTCCATGTAAAGACCCAGCCATGAGGAGGAGGCGGCGAGCGGTGGTACACATCCCGCGTTGTCCACCCCACCACGCTGGGAGGGAGGTCTCCTTACCCCACTTTACAGACCTGGACCCTGAGACAAGTACACCAACCAACTGGCCTTGGTCGCATCAGGGTCACATGCTCATACCTGGCAGGGCTGGGATTCGAACCGGGGGAATCTGACTCCAGGCCTCATGCTGCTAAACACTCTTGGAGCAAACGTTGAGCCTGCCCACGTGCTGAGGGGCAGGCAGCTTCCTTCCGTCTGCTCCCCGGGAGCTCCGCTCAGAGGGGGCTTCTCATTCCATTAAGAGGAAGGAGGAGAGGGAGAGAAAGCCACTTCTCAGGTCACTAAAGTCAAAACAAAAACTGCAACACCAAAATTCGAAGCCACTGCAGAATCTCCCCTCGGCAAACTTGAAAATCAGCTCCCTTCCTTTGGAAGCGACACCCCCCTAGCTGCCTGGGGGCGCCGTGGAAACTGGGTGACCGACCGAAGGAATTGACCGTGAGGGGTTTGTGTCTCTATCTTCCTGTTGGCCTAAGCCTGGCCGCCCGCCGGAGACAGGGCGCAGCGGCGCTGGCCCAGCGCTCGTGGGTTGCGCATCAGGCTGCCCAGGGAACACAGGAGCATTGACCTGAATACGCAAGAAGGACAGCTGCCTGGGCCCGCTGCGCAGTGGGCGTCCCGGGCCCTCCCGCACTCGGAGTGTGCGCCAGGAGTGGGTTGGGGGTCCCGAGGAGGGTAGGCCCGCACGTCCTGGGGATAGAGCACCTTTTGAGGCGCACAAGGGCAGCAGCTGCTCACGGTGGACTTTTGGGGGGCCCAGGGGACAGTTACTGGAGACGATTCTTGGAAATGATCCACTGCTCAGATCCATCTTGGATCCTTTTCCATTCAGGGAACATTTACTGAGTGCCTGCTGTATACGTCCCAGGCACTAGAGAGGATGCATCAGAGAACAAACTTCCTGTCCTTGTCCTAACAGCTGCGCCTGGGCCCTGCCGGCCTGCCTGCAGCCATCGCCTCACCTCCCCTGCACACACGGCCCCCCTCACCCACCCCTGCTCTGCTGTGACCTGTTTCAGCTGCTTCTCTGCCCAGAATACCTTCCCTGCCCCTTTATCTCTGAACAGCCTACCTGGACACCTGCTCCAGGAAAAGACAGGAAGGTACAAAATGCTTCTTGTCATCCCCATGTGCCCCCTCCCTGGATCAATCACCTCAGGGCACCTTGACTCACCCCCTGCACCTGGGCACAGCAACCCTCAGGGCCAGCCGCCGGGCTTTGTAACTGCTGCCACCTGGTGGCCAGGACGGGCGTGGACTCTGTTCTGCAGCGCGACCAGCAGCCACCAGTGAGGGAGGGGAGCCGACCAGCGGCCAGGCAGAGGAAGGAAGCAAAGGCCTTAAAAAGTGCGACGGCCTCAGGAATCCTCTCTGGGCCAACTAAGAAGTGCCTTAAAGCCCTATCTTCAATCAGATTCACACACCACAATGGGTATTCGTACTCCGGGGGCTCACCAGAGGCAGATCCCCCCAGGTCCCCCTTCTATGAATGGTGTCAACCAGGGCTGGGGCCAGAGGGGTTGTGGGATCCCTGAGGGCAGCTCAGCTAGTCAGAGGACAGCAAGATTAAGAGGAACTTGGGCGGGGGAGTCCCGTTAGGAGCCCGGCAGCGGGCATTAAGCTTCCTGGGAAGTGCAGCCAGGCTCAACCTGGATGAGACTAAAAGGTCTTTCTGGGTGGTCATTCACACCTACAACCCAACGGCACACTGAGACAGGTAGCGGGGAGCCTTTCGCTGCAGGCCCATCATGCAGCAAACGTTTATGGAGTGAGTGCCTTCCACACACAGAACTCGGGTCAGTAACAAGATGCCCAGGGTAGGGGACTGGGATGTCTGCGCACATACACAGCCAGGCTGGGCAGGCGGGGGCGGGGGGTGGCACAGGGGTAGCTTCTGCAGCCTGGGTCCCTGATATGCCAAAGGAAACAATTATCACTCTTGGCAAAGACAGCCACTAGAGAAGCCACCTTGGGTTGGAGGAGCAGAGAACCAGGGCCCAGAACTTCAGCTGCCAGAGCTCCCTGGGCAGCTGGGACTTGGGGAAAGGACCTTGGATACCAAGACCTCCAACGGTCAACAGCATGGTGCCCGAGAGAGAACCCAGTGAGGCACTGAAGTCCCCAGGTAAAGCGCAGGGCTGAAGTTCCGGTGCTCCTGCTCCACGATGAAAACTGCAGCTCCTGGGGCGCACCCCGCCAGGTGCTGCAGGGACCCCGTGAACCCAGAAAGGGCTCGTTTTATCGCACAGCCTGAGTCAGCCCTGCTGGACGGCCATGGCCTGCCTGTGCCAGCAGGCTCACCAGCTGGTCTCTCAAGGAGGCCAGGACCTCTCTGTCCCGCTGGCCTCTGACCTGCTCAGGGGTCCACTGCTCTCGGGGCCTGGTACCTTGGCCCCCAGGTGTCTGCATAACTGGTTCTGTTCTGATTCCAAAGCTCTCAGTTCAGGAATGTACCTAGACCTTTCTGGGTTGGCCAGGTGAGGTTGGGGTGATCACTGAAGTCTATATTCGTGCCCCCTTCCCACTGTCCTGGGTCTCACCGTGTGGTCAGGCCAAGGCTGGTGAGGGGCTCCTGGCTGAGATGGGGTCCCCGCCTGTCCCCTCTAGCTTCCACGCACAAGGGCCCTGGCCCTGACCCCCACTCCAGCTCTTTGCACCCACAACTACACGGCTCAGTGGTGCTGATATTTGAGGCCTGGAGGTAGCAGCTCCCCGTGTGAGGTCACTGCTTGTCTCCCCATGGTTCATCCCTGCCCTTCGGATAAGTCATCCTCACGTACCCAGGAGATCCCTTTCGTGGATTTACCATGGATGTTTATCGATGAGGCAGCCACGCTCTTAAGCTGTGCTGCGGCGCTAGGCCTCGCGCCATGCTCTGCAAAGTGCCATTTTCTTAACCCACCTGTGGCGTGACCAGAAGGGGCTGCTGAGCCACCATGCCCCAGCCAAGGACCCATCCACAGGAACACAGGGCCAGGGGGCATACCGGGGCCAGTGCTGGCCAGCAGCATTTACCTTCTCCCTGTTCCCCAGCAGATATCCAGTTAGCATGCCTGGGCCTCTTCGGAATGGGTACGTGGCAGAGTAGCGACAATGGCCACAGCTGTCCGTACCTGAGAAACCATCACAACCTGTTCAGCTCTGATGAAGGCTTTTTTGAGCATAACACTACGTATCCACCACTCAGGTCTGAACAACCTTGAAACCTGCTTCATGAATGGATGCCCATTAGAAACTGCAGTTTCCTAAAGAGCACAGTCCGGATAAAAGCCCAGCCAGGGCGGCTCCTGGAGGCCAGCCCCATCCCTCCTCTGCAGCCCGAGACGCAGTTCGACCCTGTCACGCAAGACCCTCTTGTGGCTACAGGCCACTCCTGTGCCCTGGCCACCCAAGCTGCTGAGCAGGGTCCCTGCTGTTCAAGGGACACAGGAATCAGGAATCGCCTCGCGGGCCATCACCCTGCCTGCCGCCGGGCCCTCCTTGGCAATGCTTCCTCCCGTCCTGAACTAGGCGGCAGCCGACTGCTGTTCCCGGGCCTTCATCACCATGTGGCAGACCCTGCCGGGCATGAGGGCAGTTTACTAAGAGTGAGCTCTCTGGGCTACCTTTGCCCCATCTCCCAAAACATCTAGAAACTCATGACCATATCCTAGATAAAAGGGGAGCATATAAATTCCCAGGAACCGTCCTGAAAATGTCCTTCAGGAAAAGCAGCACAGCACAAATCCACTGATGGCTGCTGTCCCCTTGAGGCCTCCCCCACAGGGGCTTGGATGCAGCCTCAGCTGGGAGGACAACAGGGAGCGGGGGTGCTGGCAGGCCTCAGGGAGAGGTAGAGAGGGGACAAGGCAGGAGAATAGCGAGGGACAGGGCACTGAATGGGTGGGTGGCTCAGACCTCTCTCCTAGGCAGGGAAGACACCACATACATGCCCCATACACCCTGGCGACGTCCACCAGTTACAGAGATGTGGGGTGAATGGCGAGGCGGGGTGTGCTTGGTCCCAATGCCAATACCCCCCTGGGCCCATGCTACTGCTTGGGGAGCATCCTCAGTAAGCACACTCACCAGAGAAACCCTGTCCTCTTACCAGAGAGGACATGGATTCTTCTGGAAGCCACTCTGGGAAGGAAGCAGGGTCCTCAGCAGCAGGGAACACAGATTCTCCCTCCGCCCCTTCCCCTGGGGTAGGGGCCACAGGCAGTATCCCCGCCCACGCTCCAGGAACAAGACAGTGCACCGGCCGACACCTAGGTGTTGTAGTGTAGCTTGGTTTTATTTATGTCCACAAATATTTCAAAAAAATTACAAAATACTCAAATGGAGAGAACACAGAAGTCACGATTTCTGGGTGTCTACTCTTTTACACTGTGTTATCTCATGGCAAACTACTCATATATACATTTAGCTTCAAGATATATATAAACGTAGCAAATCAGAATGTACACTCTGCTCTGCTGCTGCTGCAGTGAAACGTGGAGCTCAACCTTGACGACACTGAACAAGATACGTACGAAACACAGAAAAGTCAAACCGAACTTCAAACAAGAGGAAGGAAAATCCAAAAGGAAACCAAGTGGTTGGGCTTCAAAGACACCATGAAGGTCCGCAGCCTCCTAAAAAAACTGCAGTTGATCAGGTAAGGGTTTTAGGTTGCGGGGTTTCTTAATGGAAGAATCTCAGTGCTTCACCTTGGGCTACGGGGAGAAAACCAAAACTAACAAGAGAACACCTTCAGACGGTTTTCAAGTACAGACTTCAAAGTACTTCACTCTTTCTCTTCTTTGGAAATACGGATGGTAGAGAAAGGAGATAAAGAAGGTTTAACTGAGTGGTAGACGATGCGTTCTACCAGAAAGAAAAAGAAAAGAAGGGCGAGAAGGCGGTGGCACGGACGCAGGAGCGGGGGCAGCGGGACGTGCCTGCCTGTCCGGAGCCAGCGGAAGAGGCCCTACTCGGCCGCGGACGAACCTGCAGTAGAACAACCCGCCTTGGTGGCATGTCACCACCCCCAGAAGAAAACAAATGCCTCTATGCCAACGGGGCCAGAAGTCTGATGACAAAGGATTATCTGAGCTTGCCTTCCCACTAGGAACTAAAGTTAAGGCAGAAATGGAATGAGATAAAATGAAAGGAGAAAAAACTATAAACATTTTCAACAGACAAAACAATCTATCTCAACTGAAACCCAACGGTTTTCACAAAAACTGGGAATGCCCCTGATGCAGGTTTGAACGCAGAACCTGAATCTGAGCTGACTCCTGCTGGTTTCTGGGTCAGACCAGCAGCCTCTCCACCTGCCCCTACGTGGCCTGGGGCCTGGATGCACTTCGTGTCCACTGACCCACAGTGTGGTTTCTTTTTTCTGACAATTCTTGGATGTGACCACCACAACAGTGGCAGAAATGGCCCTTGAGAGTCTGAGAGAAGAGGGCTGGGAGGGGCCACATCCTGGAAGGAAGCCTGACCGACGGGTGCAGATGTCCCCAGACACCCCCCAACCTCTGCTTCAGAGAAAGTGCATTAATTTCAGAACTCAGAAAGCGCAGGCGCTGTCCAGGACAGTTCTGCTCTGAAGGGCTGGCTGCCTGAACAGTGGTACCTCCCAGGTAGTGGTACCTCCCAGACGGAAGCCTGCTTTCCAACTTCACATCTCCAGTTCCTACTTCCAGGAGGAAGGGTGGGATGTGGCTTCCCAGACTGACATGGGTCACCATCCACAGACTTGCTCCTGGGGTGAAAATGCAGGCTGCCACTCACAACTGTGCTAACTCCAGGGTCTCCCCCTCGCCCCAAAGCAGCCTCTGCTTTGTGGCCAGGATGACTTGGCTTGGTCTTCACCCAAGAAGATCCAAATGACGACATGCATTAAGGGGCAGATTTCTAACAGATTCCTTTGGCAAGCATATGTCCTGGGTCTTTCGTGTGCTGAGTTATTTGTATGGAATCATTTTCTTGAATTTTCTAGAATGTTTAGGAAATTTTCAGAGTATTAAAAAAGGCAGTTCATCCAGAACAATCAAATGTGTGTGCATAGAAATCTATAAGGAAATCTACAATCAGACACACACAAACATGTGCTCTCCAGCCTGCAGAAACAGGACAACAGTGACAGCAGGGAACAGAAAGTGAACACTCAAACGCCTGCACTCCTTGTGCAAACTGAGGTCGGAGCTCACAGATGTCCGGCAAAGCACGTGCTAGGAACAGACAGAGTGAAAGTCAAAGCAGCAAAATGAAGACTTGTAACATTGTCCCTGCAAACCCCTGGATGCCGCTGCTGTGGCCAGGCCTAGTCCCGAGCTTTCGCCCATTGTAGCTGGTAACACCCATCTGCTCCCTTTAATTAAAGGGATAATTATATATAACTTTTTATTAAAAAATCAACTCTGTATTCTGTCAATAGCTGGTGGGAATTCACAATTAGTGACATGGCTGGAAAAAATAGATCAGAATAGTAGTTTGTGGAAGGAAAAAAAGACTGTTCTAAAATTATTTATTTACAGACATAAAAAGCCATGCTGCAGAACTTTCTCAAATTATGAAGATTTCCTACAATGTATTAAAATAAAAGATTTTTTAAAAATTATAGCTCTTGGATTCCAAACTCATATGCCGCCTATCTGCAAACCATGTGGGTTTTGGAACACACGCAACTGAGCGTGTCTGACGCACAGTGAAGGGTGTGAAGTGGAGTCTAGCACCTACTGAGAAATCAAGGAAAAGAAAACTAAAGCCAAACCCCAAGATTGCAGGGAGCTTTCTGAATGTTCAGTCCAGTCCAGGACTCGCTAAGTTTCTGGGGGACTGTCATGCAGGGGGACCCAAGTCAGCCTCAGGAAATCCTCTCGACAAACGAATACTATTATGTGGATACATTTTTAGTTGTGGGGTTTTTAAATATATAAAGAAATCTTTAGAAGATATTCTTTTTGCTTTTGCAGCTCCTATTGTATGTAAAAAGTCCTGTTTCTCCCCCCCAAGAATTGGGGTTTCCACAGCCAGCGTTAACAAATAAATAACTTATAACTGCTTGTCACCTTCTTTCTTCAGTCGACTGAAAAGAAAAAAAGGAAAGAATACTCAGGGTCAGGCCTGCGCAGGTGGGTCGGGCAGGCTCAGAGCACCCCAAAGTGACAGGCGGGAGGCTGGGGGGCCCAGACACCTGCAGGCAAGGGCTCCCCCTGAGGCAAACACAACCCCAACCCAGCAGCCTCCCGCATAGCTGACCCACCCTTCGTCTGTCCCTCCCATCCCGGTGGCTCCATGGGGGTCCCCTACAGGGAGAGAGCACCGTGGGCACACACGGAGTGGGTAAGGCCCTGGCCTCAGATAGTGCCCCTTTCCCTCCCTCCCACCTCACCTGTAATAGTCTTCCTGACTCGGCAGGTGGCCGCCATGCATGTGGGGGTGTCCGTGCAGCCACTGCTGCTCCATGGCCAGTCTCTGCAGCTCTGCAGACTGGGCGTGCATGGCCTGCAGCTGGTGGGCCGCCGACATTGGGGGTGGGATGGCGCCAGGCAGGTCTCGAGGGTAGGGGGCGCCTGCCAAACACAAAATAGCCTCCGCCACTGAAACAGCCAGAGGACTGCCAGGAGAACGGCAGCACAGGCAGTGACCAGCAAGGGGCCAGGAAGGAGCCTGCCCAGCAGCCAGTCAAGCCAGTCCTTGCCACTCCAGGCCACAGCCCAGTGTTCCGCCTTCCAAGAGGCCTTCCCCTGAGCCCCATCTACGTTAGGGGCCTCTGTTACTGTCACCAACCCTGAAGTCCTGGCCTTCAGCAAGGCTGTTGGTTATGCATAAACAGCCCCCAGCCCAGGAAGCCCTCTGAGAGCAGGAGTTTGCCTGCCCTGTTCCCACATGGACCCCTGCACACAGCGGGCAAGACCCCACATTTGTTCAATACACGAAAGAATGAATGAAAGAATGAATAAACAAGGACAGCACACCAGACCTCCAACTCAACTCTCACATGGGACCCCCAACCCTCCCCTATGGAAATCCTTACCAAACACTGGATGACGTAGCATCTCGTGCTCATGGGGGGGCTGTCCAAGCAGAGGGTTGGGAAGGGTCCCAGGGGGATAGGGGAAGCGAGCCAGGTGAGGGCCGGCAGTCAGGGGGTCAACCAGCGGGTGAACCGGGCCTGCTGAGCCTAAGAGAAGGACAAAAGGCCAGATGCAGGTGGCGCACAGCTCATTTGATGTTTGTCCTCCTTGGCTGGAACTGCTACGACCTCCTCCTCACCCACGCTGGCCCCTGGTCACCAGGCCTGGATGCACCATCTGGCTGCAAATGATCTCGATCTGCAGTGGCTGCCCCGCCACTTTCTGTGCGAGCTCCACGTCAGGAAGGTGCAGAGCTGACCATGTAAGCACACACTTCTGCCCACTCCCGAGCACTCCCTGCAGGCAACACCCCTGCCCAGTGCTCCTGATCACCTGGGATCAGCAGAGCCCACCTGGCTGACCACCCTGGGCCCACCCTGTGCCTGTTAGGTCCACAGGAACCCACGGTCTTGTCCTGGCTGGTGTTGAACTGGCACCTCCTTCGCCAGGGCTGCCTCCCTGCCCTTCAACCACAGAACCCAAAGGGGGCCGGCAGAGCAGGTGCTGCGGGCTAGGACTCGGTTCACACTGCTCTCTCCTCTGCTGGCTCCAGACCGGGCAGCTGTCCCCTCAGATATCACCACCTCTTGCCCCCACCGCACAGCTGAATGATGCATGAGCGAGTGACGCCTGTCCTTATGTACTGTTTATAAGGCGTATAAGGCCCACACCACGGGGCATCAAAGCTTCAGGTGCCAGGAGCACAGTGGTGAATGCCCTCCTGTGTCAGAACTGGGCACACAGGTAGGAGAGGCACTTGGTGTCTTCAGGCAAGGTGGCTGCCTTCCCTCCCCCTGGGCCCTGCTCTGTCAGCTGTCCTCCTGCCCAGCACTGGAGGTTGGCCCAAAGGGAAGCCCTGCACGTAGGCTGCGCCACGGGACCTCCACGCTGGTCTTGTCCCTTGGGGTGGGCACACTTGCCTACCTTTGAGCACAGCCAGACCTTCCTCTGGCTCCATCTTGCCAAGCTACAGAGGGAGTGGGGATGTCAGCTGTGCCTGCCTCTGCCTCAGGCCAGCTTCCCCTGAGCTGGTCACTCAGTTGACCTTCAGGAGCTCCTGGGCAGCCCTGGCCAGGTGGGTCAGCTCAGTGTACTCAGTCAAAATCAGAAGCACTGCTCCCAGCCCCATTCCCCAAGGGAATAGAGGACTCCTCTTGTTTTTATTTACAGAGACAGGGTCTTGCTCTGCCACCCAGCCTACAGAGCAGTGGCGTGACCATTTAGCTCACTGCACCCTCAAACTCCTGGGCTCAAGTGATCCTCCGGCCCCAACCTCTCAAGCAGCTGGGACTACAGGTGCACATCACCACACCCAGCTGATTTTTAAAATTGTTTTGTGGAGATAGGATCTTGCCATGTTGCCCAGGGTGGTCTCGAACTCTCAGCTTCAAGTGATCCTTTTGCCTCAGCCTCCTAAAGTGCTGGGATTACCAGCATGAGCCATCACACCCAGCCAGGACTCCCTGAGTTCTCCCTAAGTGACAACCTACAGCTTCCTTGGGCAGCCCAGTGCCTTCACCTGCACCTTCCTTGGCTCCAAAGGCCACAAGGCGCTGTGGCCCACCCCTGGTGAGCACAGACCACTACCTTCCACCCAGGCACAGGGCCAAGAACCTAAGCTTTACACAGGAGGCTGCGAGCAGAAGGCCCATGGGTGCTGCACCTTCCTGGAGACAGACTTGCAGCTCTGGAGAGCTGAGGGGCTGAGCAGAGACAAAGGCTGTCTGTGATAAAGCAAAACCACGAGTCCTAGGTGGATGGTGAATATTCTAACATCTGCCAGGAAGTAGGGATTCGTTCAGAAAAGAACACTCTACTCTGAACAGTGACTCTTTTCTGACTATGCCCGCTTCCTGTGCCCCCTTCCCATCCTACCCTGGTCGGGGACACCCACCTTGGTGGAGGGGGTCCTGCTGGTGGAGGTGGAGGTGGGAGTGGATGTGTGAGTGCTGGTGATGATGCGGAGTCACATTGAACATCTGCAGTCGGGCCAGGGGGTCACTGGTCAGCGACGCCATGCGCTCGGCGTGGATGCGCTCAGCCGCCAGTCTGTCAGGGTAGCTCATCTCTGGCCGTAGCTGGGGGCCTGCCAGGGCCAGTCTCTCCCTCTCCAAGGGGTTCAGGCCCGGGTGGAAAGAAGCAAAAGGGTGGGGGCCGGCAGTCGGGGGGATGGTGAGGGCGCTGTGCCGGGCGAAGTGCTCCATGGGATTGGTGGCTGGGTGCAGGGGGTCCAGCTCAGGTGGCTTCACCTCGAAGCCTGGCTTCATCCTCTCCCGCAACTCGCGCTCCCGGATCTCCCGTTCCCGGATCTCGCGTTCCCGGAGCTCCCGCTCACGGATGGTGGGGTCAACATTGTAGAGGCCAGGCATGTGGTAGGCCAGCAGGGGGTCGGTGGGATTGAGGGGCATGTAGAAGGGGTGGTTGCGGTTGGTGGGTGACATGACGTGGGGCCGGGCATACTCGCTCAGAGTCCGAAGGGCAGGCGTGTCGGGCCCGATGTACGGGGGCACGGCAGCAATGGTAGTCGGTGGTGGCTCAAAGGATGGCCGCATGTGGCCAGGACCACTGAGCTGGGGGTCGCTCAGGCGGCCTTCGTGTGCTGAGCTGGATGCCTTCTGCAGAAGGAAAGGAGGCCATGAGGGGGAGATACCAAGCTGCCTGGGCATCTAAAGCTAGGTGGGGCTCCCATCCTGCACTGACAGGCCAACTTGGTCCCTCCACCCCAACACAGAGACCTGGCCCCAGCCCTGGCCTGCCATCAGGATGCCGTCCAGACCCTGCTGTAACAGTCTCACTTGTGCCTGCAGCTGCCCTCATGCCCTAGGTAGGTCAGTGTACCTGTGAGGCGGGGTACCGCGTCTATCTGTGAGCGAGACTGGTGGGGGGTGTGCGGGCCGGTGAGCCCAGCAGGCCAGGAGCCTCACCCCGAGGCCCTCGCACATTTCTCAGGCTGGCTCCCCATTCACCCCACTTGCAGAAGCAGGCCCAGGGGGATCCAGCCTGCGAGGGGCCACAGGGGAGGGCTACTAGAGGCTCCTACGTGGCCTGGTTCTCCCCCCAGGTCCTCCCCTCACGTTTCTCTCTGGCTCCTTCAAATTACAGAGGAGACTCAAGTCCACAGGCTGCAGAGGAAGGACAGCCTTCTCCCTTAAAGGCCCGAGGCAGGTGCACACCGAGTCACTGCTGTGAGTCAGCCTGGACGTGCCGGCACCAGCGACCCCAGCAGCTCGGGGCCGTGCCGCTCTGTGAGAGAAGCCCAGGGAGGGGTGTAAACAGCACCCCCCACTCCAGCTGCCAGGAGCGAGCCAGGCAGCCTCGGACAGAGCCGGGCGGTCCAGTGTGGCTCCCAGGCCTGGGGGCCAGCGCCTCCCTGCACACACCACCCACCCCAGGACTCACGGCTGCCCGCTCTGCCTCCCGCTCCCGCTCGCGCTCGCGCTCTCGCTCCTTCTCTTTCTCCTTCTCCCGCTCCCGCTCCTCTCGGGCTTTCTGCTCAGCCTCCCGCTTGGCCTTCTCAATGGCCTCCTCCCTCTTCTTGGCCAGTTTGGATCCAGCCAGAGGCATGAAGTTCAGGTCTGTCCGTGCGCACGAGTTGTAACCCCGGTCCAGGTGCTTGTAGAACCTACAAAAGGCCACATCTCCAGCTGGGAGCTCCTGCCAAGGCCTTGCCCTGCCCTGCCTCCCAACAAAACCCCACCTGCGCCCCTCCGACCCGGGATCCTATCCTAGGATACCTGGCTGACTGGCTGGCGTGGCTGGGGGTGTCCACCACGGTGGGCTCAGGGGACGGGCTCCTTGGTGGCGGAGGGGGACTCTCAGGCTCCTCGGCATCATCCAGAGCCTCCTCCTTGATCTGGACAGCGGGCAGTGGGCAGGATGTCCCCCCCGGCATGCTGCCCCCTGAAGAAACAGCAGCGGAGCAGGGCAGCTGGGCTGAGGTGCTGGGTCCCGCGGGTGGGGTGGAGGTAGAGGAGCAGGTCGGAGGAGTGATGGGAGGAGGCCCTCCAGGGACAAAGGGGTGCTGAGCAAATGGGGGCTGGGGAGGCCCCTGGTGGAGGCCTGAGGGAGGATGCGGGGCAGCAGGAGGGGGCAGGCTCTGGCTCTGCGTCAGCCCAGGGGGCTGGGCGGGGGAGGAGGGCAAGGGCTGGCTCTGAGGCATGAGCTGCAGGGGCGGGGGGTGCGCTGAGGGGGGGTGGTGTGTGGACAGGGAGCTCAGGGGCTTCAGGGCTGGAGGGGGCGGCAGATTGGCGTTCATGGAGAAGGGCGAGGGTCCTGAGAGGTGGGGTGGGTGCTTGTGGGCCTGTGGCGCAGGGAGCTGGGGGATGGGGGGGGCGGGCGGGGGCTTGATGTGAGGCATGGCCAGGGGTGCTGGTGGCAGGGGCTGCTCCCGTGGGGGCTGCTGGGGCTGCAGGGCTGACTGAGAGGCTGGGAGCTGCAGGCTGGTGTGGGGGTGCGCTGCGGCTGGGGAGGCCCCCAGAGGGGCCTGGCCTTGAGGGGCTTGGGGTGGGAGGCCGAAGGGCTGAGGGGGGCCTGGGTGCTGCAGCAGGGGCCCGGCCTGCAGGCCGTGAGGGCCAGGTGGGCCCTGACCGTGCAGGGAGGGCTGGGCGTGGGGGGGCGCGGAGGTCTGGCCAGCCGGCCCGGTCAGCGGCTGCAGCGGAGGGTGTGGTGAGGGCAGCCGCTGTGAGTGCAGGCCGGGTGCCTGCTGGATGTGTGTGTGGGGAGCAGGCACTGCTGGAGCCTGCGGCTGGTTAGGGGGTTGGGGGGCTGTAGGGGAGCCCTGGGTGGAGGCTGCAGTGGCAGAGGGTGTGGGCCCTGGAGTAGGAAGCTGGGGTGTTCCTGGCGGGGCCGTGGAGGGCACTGAGGTGGCCCCACTGGAAGCCTGCAGGGCTGGAGGCTGGGCCTGCAGCATCTGCTGCTGGGCTGACGAGTCTGAGTCACTCTCATTGTCCTGGGGGCTGGGGATGCTGGGGGACGTGCTGCGATTGTCCTGGTCGATGTCTTTGGGGTCACTGCTGCCCTCATCGTTGACGCTGCGACTGTCCGAACTCTCTCCCTCACCTTCAGACGGTGAGTTGGGCCGGCTGATCTCCTAGAGCCAGAGAAGAGAAGGATGGAAGCCCTAGGAGGGCAGAGCCCTCTCGGCCCTGCACTGACATTGCCTGGCATACAAGAGAGGTCTGTGCAGCTGAAGCAGGACCACAGGTCCTGCCCGACTCAGCCAATGTCAAGGGCCACTCTAGCCTCCACCCCACACTGTCCTGGGCCTTGAGCTCAAGCCCTGCCCTGCCACCCGCCAGAGAACGTGGGCTGTGGGCTTCTCAAGGAGCGTTAGCCGTAGTCAGCAGGCTCTGCTGGACCCTCACCTGGGTCTTTGTCTTCTTGGAGCTGATCCTGTCAGCCTCCTCAGTGTCGGAAGCCACTTTCTCCCGCTGGCGCTTGGTGCTCTTAAGAGGGGACGAGGCTTCTTCCTTTGCCTTCTGCAGTGGGAAAGTCCACAAGGAGCAGTCAGGCTAAGGGAGGATGTCCCATCAGACTCAGGAGGGAATGACAGCTGTTTGTGGACACTGTCCCCTCATTCTAAGTTCCATCTCCAGAAGCAAGAACTCTCTAGAAAGGGCCAACTAGGGCCAGGAAGGAGCAAGTATCTGGGATGGGAACTACAGCTGGCCCTCCGTATCTGTGGGTCCTGCACCTTCAGATTCAATCAATCATGGATCAGAAATGCAGTTAGGACAGCGATGGCTGCGTCTGTATGGCACATGTATGGACATCTTTCTTTCTTGTCATTATTCCCTAGGCAATACAGTGTAACAACTATTCACATAGCATTTACATTTTAGTAGGTATTATAAGTAATCTAGAAATCATTTAAAGGATACAAGAGGATGTGTGTAGGTTACAGGCAAATACTTCACCACTTTATATCAGGGACTTGAGTATCTGTGGATTTTGGTATCTGGGTGGGGTCCTGGAGCCAATACTCTGTGGATACTGAGGGAGAACTGTACTTGGCTTTGAGTGGAGGGAACCCTTCCAACCACTTCCCTTGAAGGTGCCCTCTCCCTTTAAGGCCTTGGGAAACCCAAGGCAGAGGTGGCCCCAAAGGTCAGTGCTTTCTCCAGGCCCCCGGCCTCCGCACCTGCAGCCCATCCCTGAACACCAACTCGAGCAACCCAGTTTTAATGGGAGGGACAGACTAAGGACTCCCCACTACCCACCCCAGCACCTGACCTTGGCTGACTTCTTCACCGTCTCTGCTTTACTGTCATTGCTGGAGGTGCTGGCAGCACTGGGGGAGTTCCGGCCACTGGAGCGGATGTCTTCATTGATGGGTGAGGCGCGACCATCTGGACTGGCTGGCTGCTTCTTCCGACCACTGCGTAGTGTCGACATCTGCCCACCCAAACCAGAAGCTGGTGACACTGGATCCCTAGTCTCCACATGGGCCCACTGGGCCCTGCCACAGGCAGGAGCCTTAAGAGCAGTCCCCACCACCATTCTCTTAGCAAATACCAGCCCCTGGCAAACGACAGGCACCCCTGCCTGTCCCCTGCTGCACAGAGGGCAGCACAGAGCTGTGGGAGGGGGATGAGTGGGCTCCCACAGGGAAGAGAGCCATTCTCACACCCAAAGCACTCAGCCCCAGGGACATCCTGAACGATGAATGCTAGACACAAACGAGGCTTCCTGAGCCGCAGGAAACTGGTGTGGGCCACGTAATCCGACACACAGAAGCCATCTCTAAAGCACCTCCTTTCTGTTTATTCCATGTACCTGCCCACTTTCCCAACCAAACCAAACATGTGGGAATTCAATCTCACAGGACAGGAAGTGACCCAAAGAGATGAAGGTGTCAAGTAACACAGCTAAGCTCCCAAACCACTGAGCACTTCAGCATCTTTCTGCAAAGCCACGAGTGCTCAGAAGAGATCGGGGCATGACACTTAAGGCCAGCTCACCTGCTCCCTTCTGAGCGAGCAGTGGTCAGGCTGCCAGCAGCCTGGACAGGACACCAGGGACAGAGCAAGGTGGACAGTCCCACCCACCTGCCAGAAGGGAAATCGGCAGGGGAGGCCACTGCCAGATGAAAGACCCTGTTAGTATTCTAGGCCCCAAATCTGGAAAAACCCTCTCTCCAAGTCCCTGCCACCCTTTCAACCTAAGAAACAAAGTCTTTTTATGGAAGGTACTATGCAGTGAGTAGAGAAATGTACCGGAAAGTGTCCAAAACAGGACCAAACATTAACAACCACACAAAAAGAGTCTGTAAGTTGAAAACAGCAGAGATATGCCACACTGGAGGTGACCAGTCCACGGGCTGGGGAGAGCTCGAAGGAACTTGGAGGGCCTGCACTGGGCCAGAAACCCAGAGCTCTCTGTCAAACTAAGCTTAGGGCGTGTGCCCCATAGACCCCCAAGAAGAGAACAGAGAGCTCCTCCCAGCCCCAGGCAAGCTACTGCCGCTGGGCAAGACGTTTCACCTCCAGGGGTCTGTTTCTCTCCCTAAACAAAACTTTCACTTCCCCCTGGAGGACACAAGCCCCCAAGCATTCCAGCAACCTGGAGAAGCTGTCAGGAGCCCCATGGACACAGGGGACTCACCGAGCCCCGACTCCGCCGCGTCCTCATGCTATGTTTCCCACTGAGCCCATCGTCCTCCTCCTTGACGGGTTTGAACATGAACGGTGGGGGATCCACAGGCTTCTCGATGGGCGGGAGCTCGCCGTATTTCTTGAAGTGGATGCGGCAGTCGGTGCAGAGCAGAATATTCTCTCGGCCCCCGTGGTGCCAATCTTTCGAGGCTACGGGAGGGGAAGGAGGGGTGCAGAGTGCCAACCTTGGAAACTGTCCATCTCTCTGGGGACATCTGGACAGAGGAGATCTTCTATGGGCTCCAACCAACCCTGGCGCCACCAGAACCATGCAGCACTGGGCTTGGACAGACACCTGTTACTCAGACAACCCAGGGGCGGTGCCGCCCTGCTCTCCCCCAGTAGCGGGAGAGGGTTTCAGGATCATCCACCAGTCTGCCTCATCTTGGGGCATCTAAGAAGAGCTGGCAGCAAGCTCCTAGGAACCACAGTGCTCCCCCTGTCCCTGCCCGAGCAAGTCTGGCCTTCCTACTGGTCAGTATTCCATATTGACTGCTAAATGGGGGAGTGAAGCAAAACAAACTAAAACAAAGATTTCCAACTTTCTCAAGTAACCTCAAAGGACGATGCAAATGTCAAACCAATCCCTTGGCAGCTTACCAGTCAGTGCACGAACTGCTCGGAACCCGCAAATGCCCGAGCCCGACCTGGCACAGTGAACATGCCCTCCACCCCCACCCCGGGGCACGACGAGGCCACTTACTGGTGGTGAAGCAGTGGCGGCAGGCGTACCCCTTTAGCTCCTGCTCACTGTCCTCGCTGTCAAAGTCATCCTCGCTGGCTGAACTCAGGTCCACTGGGCATGGCAGGCACAGAGCGGGGAGGGGGAGACACCATCATGCTCAGCCAAGACCTGGCTGTGACCACCCTGTGACCTCTGGCTTGCCTGGGGTTCTGAGCCACCTGTCAGAGAGGCTCTCAGGCTGATGTGTGATAGCGTTCATGAAGGATCACTTCAGGGTCAGTCACAGAACAAGAGCCTGTGTGTGAGGGGCGGTGTGCAAGGGCCTGCCCTGCCAGATTTTTGGTGGCTGATGTCACACCTGAATCCTGAGGTAGCTGGCACTGGGGCCCACAACTGGTGAATTTGAACTGGGAAAAGTGTATCCATGCTGTCTTCCCTGATACACCCAGGCATCCCGAGGAATTCTGTCTCCACTGAGTGGCCCCCGCCAGTCCTACTAGCTTACTTCTGGTTGTCTGCATTAGCAACACAGGTGACCCCTCAGGTCAAGTGTCCTGGGCCAGGACAGAGCTGGAAGGCACTATTGTTATATCCCAGATTTTTAGAGGACGAGAAGGTGTGGGCCTCAATATCACACTGCATGTCATAGTGAGACCAAGAAGAGGGAAAAGAAGAGAGTGTTAATCTGATCTTACTACTACCAAAAGTACAATGAGAATTTAAACAATGCATCATCCACTAAGTAGAAAACCTCTTTAGCCCAGGGCCCAAACATATCAGGCCAAGGCCAAGACTTACATTTTCATAAAAACTTAAAATGATGTTGAGTTTACTAGATGTATTTAAATGTACAAATAATTTTTACAATTCTCTCTACTAAATCCCACCCCCCGTCAGTGCTACATTTAGGTCAGGCTTCACACACACGTGCACATACATGTGTGCACGCAGGCATACCCGCTCCACGATTGCCCTACATACTGTGGTGCTAAGATGCTCACTTACAGAATTCACTGGAAGGGGGTCTGGAAGGTGTGTTGACGGGTGTGGATGCAGTTCGAGTCTTAATCCTCCTGAACACAGCCTGCCTGCGGTGCCTGCGATGGGCGCGGGAGCTGGCTGCTTCGGGGGTTTTCTTCCAGTAGTAATAGAAGGTGATCAGTTCCCCCTGCAAGAAACAAGGGCTGGCTGTGAGAAGTGTGCAGAGCGCTTCGGCTTTTCCACGTTCCCCCCACACCCCTCCTCTGCAGGGAGCAGAGAGCCGGGTGTGTAACTGCTGTACTCGAGTCTCGAGGGGAACCAGGCCTGCTCAGGGAACACGGCTGTGGGCAGCATGAGCGGGGCCTGCCTCCTAGACACCAAGAGCACTCCCTCGTCCAACGAGCATTTGCTGGGTGTCCTCTACGTGCCCGATGCCACCGCTGTTCTAAGCACAGGGGGCACCGCATCAACAACAGACCAACAGACAAAGAAGACAGAAGAGTCCTGCCCTCAGGGAGCACACATTCCAGCGCTCTGTGCGTGCACCTGCGGGTGTTTTCTGCACAACATTCCCGTGAAATCACACCGGTGGGAGAAGGAAATAAATGCCTGGCCTCCTCAGAGACAACTAGCCAGTCGAGGTGTTAGGGGACTGGGGCCAAGTGTTAGGTCAGAGGACAGAGGCCCACCCCCAGGAAAACTGCTCTCCAACCTCCTGTGTCCCAGCGCAGCCTGGACAAGCTGGCGCAGTGTCCTGAAGGCAAGGCCCGGCCTTGACAAAGAAAGACGAAGACAAGTGCTGATGCACAGATGAAACGTCACACGTCACCAGGTCGGCCTTTATGGCAAAAGGAGCTATTCTTTTCATAGCCCAGCACAAAGGGAAGAAAGACATCGTTTTAAAAATACAGCAAATGAGACTTTTTAAAGAAAGGGCATCTGTGGCACTCCCACTGCCTCAGCCTCTGCAGGCTCCTCTGTCATCCACACACAAATGGCATGTTCAGCTAACTCTCGCTAAATAAAGACCAATTTGTTACAACAAACATCCCAAGACAGTCTCCTTACCTAGAATTTAAAAAAAAAAAAAAATCACAGCAGTGAGAGCCTACATCACACTGCTCTTCTCTAATTAAATCAACATTGTAGAAAGTCAATTAACTTGACAAACTACCAGATCCTGGGACGTCACCCTGGGCGTGTCCGTACCCCCCACTCTGTCTCATCACTCACTGTGTCGTGAATGTAATAGCCAAAAAATGAGAAGGCAAAGATCTTCTCCAGTAACCTGAGATGTAGCTGAAAAGACTCGTGCTAGAAGGACTAAAATAGATAAAGAAAAGACATGCAGCTGTCATGCGACAAACTCCTGTGACTGTCAGAGCACCCAATCCAACCAGGTTTCAACCACGGCAGCCCCAGAGGCAGTGGCTTCAGAACACAGTAACAAGAGAAGTGAGTAGACTTTAGGTGGAGAAATGGCTTCTGCAAGGCAGGTAAACGCGCATGTGCAGAGCACTTACTACCCAGAGCTGGATTTTACGCCTGTGCAATTGTGTGAGAAGTGGGTCCACAGCTGTCATCAGGTCCTTAAAGGAGTGCCGGGATGCAAGAAGAACGTCTGACTGGCCTGTTACACGCCTGTGGCACGTATCTCTTAGAGCTCTGGATGTGTTTCAACCTTCCCAAGCACTTCATGCTCAACAAAATGCCGACACTGAACAGATGAAGCACAACGCCAGGCCAACGAGGCGAGGGAGCCAGCTTCCAAGGAAGAGCACAGTTGTGCCCCTACAGGTACACACATGTCGCCCTCCCTCAATTCCATGACATGGCAAGTGAACAGTAAGGGAAAATGCAGACATTGCCCTTGGAATTTCTGACGTCTCTGTCATACACAATGCTGCAAACGCAGGCTACAACTGTTTCAGCAGTGACTGGAGCATCCTGAGCCCCAAGGTCATGATCTGGGAACCTCCTAGCTCCTGCCGCTTCACTTCCCATCTTCCTGACTTGGGAATGCACTGATCTATACCGCACTGATCCCCGGCTGCTGTGGAGGGAAAAGACTCATAAATCCTGCTAGGGGATTAAGAGACCTCGGCTAACACAAAACTGACCAGGCCTTGGTATTCCTATGAGAAAATATGGAACAGAAGCCAAGGAGGGCATGGTCACTCTCCAAACACTCTTTCGGAGCAGCAGGTTCATCAGCTCAGAGGGGCAGCTCAATCTGAAGCTTGAAAGAAGAAAGAGAAAAAACTCAAAGTGGTTCCTTCCACCTATTCCTTTAGCCGGCGTGATTTTAGGGGCCATCAAATGACAGAAGCCTGGGATGTAAGAGGAAATGCGAAGCTACAGGAGAAGAAAGGGAACAAAATTGAGAGAGAAAACTCTGGCAGGAAGGCAGGCACTGCCTGGGTCTGTGACCAGCCTCTCAGACTCTTATTTGAGGCTGTTAAAAAGCAGCCACCCTGACATTTCTAAATAGCATTTGTCTGTAATGCAATATTGCTTCACACAGTTACAATCGATTATTTCTATTTCTCAAATATGAATGCTTTGAAAGAGTCTCAAAGGGTTTTAACAGACAGCATAACTTGCAGATTAAAAAAGGAGAAGCCAGGGTTCAGTGAGGCTAAGGAACTGGCCCAGTGCCAGACCAGACAGAAAAAAGGCTCAGAACAGCCAGGCTGGCGTTTTCAACTTTGACTCTTGCACCATGTCCTCAGTTAGCATGTAAGAAAATCAAGACCCCAAAGAAGGAAATCTAAACATTGAAATCAACATCAACTTTTATTCAAGACTTAAGTAACAGTTTCTGAATAAGAATCAGAAGTCCAGATTCCATCATCGGAGTGCCTAGGATCAAAATGACCAGGCAGAAAGGACCCTCCTCCACAGCTCTGAAATCACAGTTGATGAGAAAATGAAAGAATGTAAACTTAAAATTCAGGAAGGTGTGGGAGTGACTCGAATTGTCACACACTGCTGATGGGAATGTAAAATGATCAAACGGCTTCATAAAAACTGTTTGGCAGATGACATCTACCACATGACCTAACAGTTCTACTCTTAGTTGTTTACCTAAAAGAAATAAAAACATGCTCACACAGCTTTCACACACAAGCGTTTACAGAAACTTTATTCTTAATAGCCCCAAACTGGAGACAACCCAGAGGCCCACGAATAGGAGGACGGATAAACGGATTATGGTGTGCCCATCCTCTGGAATACTACTTGGCAATTAAAGGAACAAACTACAGATACGCAGACGGATCTCAAAACATCATGTTGAATGAAAGCAGCCAGACACAAAAGGGTGCACACTTTATGATTCCATCCTAGAAAAGGCAACTCTATAATCTCAAGAAAGCAAATCAGTGGCTGCCTAGAGCCTGGAGGGTGGGAGACAGGAAACTGCCTGCAAAAGGACCTGAATAAACATTTCAGGGTGACGGAAATAGTCTATAAATCGATTGTGGTGTTATTTACATGAATGTATACAGTTGTCAGAAGTCGCTGAACCGTGTACTTAAAGTGGGTGCATTTTTGTGGTATACATTCCACATATGGAATATATACCAATTATATGTCAGTAGTTGATCAAAAAAACAACAAATCCAGGCCAGATTTTATTAGCTGCCTCTCAACCACTGTAATGTCTACCAAGGGATTAAACACTGGAATGGAGCGAATCTAGGAGGATTAGAAACAGCATATTGGTGACTGCATGGGTGGCGAGGTCTTGAGCACAAACAAAAGAACATGTCGGGGAAAGCTCTGGTTCTACAAATAAGGAGTGAAGCAGCTCGAGGCCTCACCAGGAATGAAGTCAATTGAACTTTAATCAAACATGCACAGTGTGTGCTGCAGAGACCCGCTGCACATAAATTCAGGGAACAAAAGCTGCTGCAGAAATCAATAGCTTACTGAAACATTAACACAGGCAATCATTGATCAAAAGGCAGCTCCACAAAGGCAGCCTTGCAAATTAGCTCCTGCTTTTGTTTGCAAGCAAACACAGAGGTATAATGTTGTTGACATGAATGGCCTATAATGATCATTTTGTTCCCGATGCTCTCACCTCATCTCACAACAAAGTCTCACAGTCAACACATCTGATATCTTGGTACTATAATTGCACACAGCATGAGGGACTAAACCGGTTGACTAAACTGGTTAGTGCCTGGGCAAAAAAGGGAAAGAAAGGGGCCATCTCCAATCAACAACATTACAGGCTGCAGCTTTTGCTAAGAAAAGTGCTTCAACTTCATTGGTGTATATTTAACAGATTCTCTCTCTATAACTCCTTTTTCTTTTTTGCGGGGGAGGGCTGGATTTTCTCCACAGGTCATAAACAAAAAGCCACTGGCAATGAATTGAGCTTCTAGCAGAGAGAGAACAGAGAGAGAGGGTTCATAGGATTCATCTGTGGCTGTTATTAGAAAATTGTGGGATTATTTTCTTGTTATTTAAGCAAGGCTGCCCCTTTCTTTCTCCCTCTTAAGGGACCTTGGGGGAGTGAAAGCATAGAACAAACTGCTGAACAGGGAAGGCACTGGAAGCATTCTGAGTATCAAAGACTCATTCTTAGCATGTCCCTCAGGCTCTCTTATTCCCTGGCCTAGCACTAACTCTGCAGACACTCTCTGGGAGGCTAATGTGGAGGCAGAAAGAGGTAAGGCAGTTATTTTTGTCCCATGTTAGAAGCGTAAGGGTACACCCAACATTGAGTCCAAATTTTTTTTGTAACTATTATTATTACTACATCACCCAAAGAAGTCTGGGTATCCCCTGAGGAAGGGGTGAAGGTGTGGTGGAAGGTAAGTTCTAAGGACCCCAGCTGGCCTTTTGTTTTTTGAAACGAGGTCTTACTTTGTTGCCCGGACTAGGGTGCAATGACGTCAGCCTAGCTCACTGCAACCTCAAACTCCTGGGCTCCGGTGATCCTCCTGCCTCAGCCTCCCGAATAGCTGGGACTACTGGTGGGCACCATCATGCCCGGCTAATGTTTTTTTCCCCTTTATAGAGACGGGGTCTTGCTATGTTGCTCAGGCCAGTCCTCCAACTCTTGGGATCAAGCGAAACTCCCGCCTCAGCCTCCTCAAGTGCTAGGATTACAGGCGTGAGCCATTGCGACTGTCCTTTTTTTTTTTTTTAAATGAGCCCAGGAAGGCTTCAGTC